GTATCCACCACTCCTCCCAGTTTGGTGCCATCAGCAAACAGGCTGAGGGATTGCTCATCAGTTTGGAAAAAAAGAAGGAGGGTTCTGGACCCCCGTTCTTCCTTCGAGCCACGAGAGACGCGAGTCTGTCGAAGGAATTATGGAGTCATGTGAGCCACGACAGCCACAAAATTAAAAAAAAAATGAAAAAAAAATGAAAAATGTCATGCACTGAAGACTGTATAAAAGTGAAAGTGGATTTTGATTTTAAAATAGGGAAAAAAAAAAAACCACCAATATTTCGAGCGTGGAGACAAAGCCACGGGTTCCTACACATTTTATGGACATCTTTTGCCGCCCTAGATGCATCACCAACCCAGCACTGGCCATGTCAACCTCAACATCAGAAACAGTCAGGTGAGTTCCGAACATCCTCAAATGGAGAAAAAACACCTTTTTTTTTAATAAAAATCACCATAAAAACAAACCCAAGCAACTCAACCCATCGTTTGACCAAGCACCTTGGTGCGATGCCACCACCTCTCCAGCCTGCAGAACTGGAACGCCTTCGTTTTGCTGTGAGGAACGAAGTTCTCTGCCCGCTTTGTCAACGAGTTCCACCTCTGAAGGTGGGATCTGGGTCACATATCACTTCAAATATTCATATTTTTGTTGTTGTTAATGAAATAAAGTCGTTCCCGGGGTCAAAGCGTCGCGGTGGAACTTCATGGGGAGCAAAGCGTCGCGTCCAGCAGCGATCCCCAGGACCCAGCGCTGACGTCACCTAAAGCCACCCGAGACACACCCAGCTCCGCCGCTTATTAAAACGGATTAACAGCCATTTCAGCTGTTCCAAGAAGGACATGGAACTGTTGGAGTGGGTTCTAAGGAGGGCTACAAAAATGATCTGAGGGCTGGAGCACCTCTCCTATGAGGACAGGCTGAGAGAGTTGGGCTTGTTCAGCCTGGAGAAGAGAAGGCTGCGGGGAGACCTGATTGCAGCATTTCAGTGCTTAAAGGGAGCCTATAGGAAAGATGGGGACAATCTTTTTAGTAGAGACAGCAGTGACAGGATGAGGGGTAATGGTTTTAAACTAAAACAGGGTAGGTTTAGGCTAGATATAAGGAAGAAATTCTTTACAATGAGGGTTGTGAAACACTGGAACGGGTTGCCCAGAGAGGTGGTGGAGGATCCATCCCTGGAAACATTCAAGACAAGGTTGGACAGGGCTCTGAGCAACCTGATCTAGTTAGTGGTGTCCCTGCTCACTGCAGGGGGCTTGGACTAGATGACCTCTAGGGGTCCCTTCCAACCCAAAACTTTCTATGATTCTATGATTATATTCTAAATTTGTATTATTTTGATAGATAAGTATTTTATAGAATGTGTATATGTATACATTTTATTA